GTTGATCAGCCCAAGGACGCTGCTGTGGGGAATGCTTCCGAGGGCAATGGAGCTGACAAGGCGCCAGTTGATGAGCCCGAGAAAAAGGACAAGGGCCCAGCCCACCGTTTGTATCCAACATGTTTTGCTTTTTTTCTTGAAACATCACCCTTAGTTCCTTCCATCGCGCTTCCCTGCAGGACCCAGTGGTTCTTCGGTCAAGCCAAGTGCAGATCAGTGAACGGCATGGACCTCCAAAGGCAAAATGCAGTGCCAAGCGCAAATCTCGCAAGCAGAAGGCGGAGTCTGATGAGGATGCTGTGGAAGATGCTGAACCTGAATGTGTGGAGTCTTCAGGCGATGAAGCTGATGATGAGCCAGAGCCAGTTGATGCCGAAAAGCCTCTGAAGAAGAGGGCAAAAAACTCGCCCAAATGATGAGGCTGATGAAAAGGATAAGCAACTGATGCCGCGTGCCAAGGCGAAGGGCAAGGCAGCAGCAAAGGCAAAGGCTGCGAAAGCAAAAGCTGAACCCAAGAAGAAGAACAAAAAGAAGAATGGCAAGAAGAAGACTGAAGAGGAGAAGCCTGAAGTTGTTCAGCAAGATGCTGGGCAGTCCAAGGAAAAGGAAGAGAAAGCCGGAAAAGAACAGAAAAGGAAGCGTGAGGCACCAAAACGCAAAAAAGGAGAAGAGCGTTGAGAAGGTGGAACGGGAGGAAGCGAAGAACGGCAAGGAGAAGAACGGCAAGGAGGAAGCCTCAGCTTCGAAGAAGAAGAAGGAAAGCTCCTTTGCGAGGCGGCCCTTCCCGAAGACGGAGAGCGCCATTGCTAGGTTTAGCGCCATCAGGGATTGCTACAACGATCACGTGAAGTGCAGAGTTGACCCGCCTGCTGCATATCAGGAGAGGGGGTCATGATATTTTTCAAGGTGCCCTTTTAACCTCCTGAATTACTCTTAAAGATAAGCCCCAAAGACACTGTTTGTTTCAAGTCCCAACCCTGCAAAGGAGGCATTTTGGAAGCTTTGCCTTGGAACTTCAGAGTTCACAAGCCAGGGCAATTATGATGGTTTCTACGCTGCTGCAAAAAAGCTGGAAGCCAGCTTTCGCAACTCAGCCTTGTATCCAAAAAAGGATTTGCACCTTTAAACGCAATTGTCAGGAAGTAATGTTGGGAACCTCATTCATCACACTGTTTTGCTCCCCTCTAATTTTTGCACGTGTTACCTGTTGCTTTTTGCTGGCTCCTCTAACTCAGCCCCAGCTTTGATTCATCCAAAAGCACAAAAGGTCCCATGGAAGACGCTGAAGAATGAAATCCGTTTTAGGTGGCTCGCATTTTGGGTGGAAGCACAATTGACCAACAATTGTGCTGACTGTTTGGATTCCATCATTAGGGGTACGCCTGAAAGGCTGCAGCTTCAAGCTTGGAAGTGTGCGCGCGTTCATCCTCTAGGTTAAGCAGCAAGGGATGAACCTTTGCTGATGGCACAGGATTTCGGGTGAGTGCTCCCAGATTTGGAAAAGGTCTCTGCATGTCTCTGCCTACAGTCTGCACTCATGCCCCCCATAGCTGAGCCTGTGGCACTGTAGATTTTAGTGACAGTTCGTTCTTATGTTTCTGCAGGTGTGGGCTTTGGCACCGCTTTGACAATGCAATGCCAAGGCCGATCAATCCTCCCATCCTGCATTAATTTCTTTTCAGCTTTGCCAGGCGTCCCACACCTCCGAATTGCCTTGCAGTACAAGGCTTTACAGTCCGCCCTGAACTTGGGTCAAGGTTAGGCCCAAGTAGTGCCCCTGCCATGTTTTATTTCTCGTCTTTCAGTGGTTTCTTATTGGTTTGCGGTGATTTATGAACAGTGTTATACTTCATGATTGAGAAGCTGGGTGAGCTCAAAGCCTTTAATTGAAGGCTGTCAAGCCCTTATTTTGCTGCCATGGCCCCAGAAGAGATTGAACTGGTAGTGCGAAGGCTTCTTTCAATTGGAGCCCCCAAAGTTTCTTTGCTGGCATTTCTTGAGAATACTTTAAATGTCACGGAGTTTTCTCTGGTCCACAAGTTGGCAGGCACCTGCCAGACTTGGCGGGGAAACCATACCAGTTGATAGAATATTTTTCGGGAAAGGCACGTGTATCAAAAATGGCAGCGCGTTCAGGTCTGCGAGTAGCATCATATGACATATCGTACGATAATCGGCCTACCACATGGAAGAACGGATTAAAGCGTGCAAGAAAGTTCATGGATATAAATGGAGAAGCCGGCTTTGTGTTGCTTTGAATTTGCTTAGCAGGTCTTACTCATTCTTTTCTCGCTTTGGAGAGAACTGCTGGGGAAACATTGTTTTCCAATAGTAATTCCTCTTGGCCCGGCCCAGGTTGGCAATTGCACTCGCCCTTCGTGGTGACTTTGCAGCCCTTGCCAGCATGCTGGCGCCAGTTTGCAGCACGTTTTCATCAGTGAACATCGGCACTTCAGGAAGAAACCTTTAGAATCCTTGGGGTAGGTGGTTTCTCACAGCCATCCGCCGTGGAAACAAACTGCTATCGAGGACCCGGATACAACTGGGAGGGTTTTGGTTCGATTCTTTGATCTTTACAGTCCTCTCATTGCATGGTCTAGTGGGCAACCTGGAGGTTCCTAGGACTTTACTAGTGGACGCTGCAAAAAACTGTTAATCCGAAGCCATGGATCCGTGCAGGACTTGTTTGTTGCTTTGCCTCTTGACCTGTATGCAAGCCACATGGTTGCTAGAGAACCCTGCCTCTAGCGCAATCGTGATTTACCCCCCGCCTGATCTGGGTACTAAAGATGTTAAAGCGAATTGGATCACAAGCTTTTTGTCAGCACTACATCAAAATGACCAGGTACGAATCTGTTCTTGTTTTTGCTTTACACCGAAAGCCTTCAGCCATCACCTGCGTGACTTTCGAGGCTTTTCACCAGAAATTCTGGATGAGACTCCATGGAGGTGAGAGCCCGAAAAGGACACTGATTCTTTCAAACACCCAGTTGATAGGACAGCTGGACCAGGGAAAGCTCAGCAACTCGGGCCACACCTTGCAGACTACAGTCAAATACGTGAACTCCAAAGGGGAGGCATGCTACCATGGAAATGGTTCTTCATTGAAACAAACACAGAGTCTAGGCTATGAGACGTCAGGGATTTTCTTGCTCTAGTATTTTTGCATGTACCACCTTGGAGGTCTGTGAGAACTGCCCTCAGAACACTGCCCAAGGACATACCCGGCAGGCTTTGCACGTGCTGTGAGGATGATCTTGCAAGATTCCAGGAAAACGACACCGGCTTTCTCACTGGATGTCTATCCCTCAGGTTTCTGTTTTCCAGGGTTGGCCCAAAAAGCTGCACTGCAAACATTGTCGAACTTAACTCACCCCCGACATGTGACATTTCAAAGTTTTTGCCCAATGCCATCCAGCCCCAACAGTTTTTTGCCCTGTCCAGCGCCCGAGGTGGACATGAGCACCAGCCTCATTGAGATGTTCTCGCAAGCTTCCTGGACATCCTGGCCAGAAACGGAGCTTGAGGATGTTTTGGAATATGTGCAGCGTAGCAAGCATCTCATGATTCCAGCTGACTGGAAGAATAAGTTTCAGCCAGAGACATCTGCCTAGGGCCTAGAAGGTACCATAGATGTCTTAATTTGTTTTGCTGTGGGTGGTTCTTGGCCCTGTTGCCCCCCTGATCGAAAAACATCGATTTTGAAACGGCGCTTTTCGGCGCTCAAACGGCGCTTTTTGGCGCTCAAACGGCGCTTTTCATTTTCAGGGTTTTTCAACAGGGTTTCCACCTGCGACCAATTCGAAACAGTGCACCATGAGACTTGGAAAGAACTGGGGAAACATGTGCGGTATTCAAGTTCGATGTATGTGTGACAAGTGTGATAGGATAAGTTATGTCTATGTGTTGACTGCGTCATTCCGCAGAACGGTGATCCAACTATAGGGCTTTGAGTAGTGTGCGCCTCAATGTCGCTTGGTCAGTACTCTTCTTCCGAGACTCTCATGGCTGGTGTACAAGCAATGACGGACCAACCCGGGTTCTTACATTCGACTACGGATGAAGACTTGGAGAGGGAACTCTTGGTTTCTTGGATGGTCTCTAAACACACGTTCATGTGCTCAGTTCTTTTTGCTTAAGGCTTGGGTATTTTGTCACGGGAATCCTTACAGGACACCTTCAAAGTAATGCATGCATCACCCTCCAAAACCCAATCTCAAACCCATCCCAAGTCTCAAGAGACATGAAACAGATTCAACGACCTTGTGTCCGAAAGGTCTTGGAAAAGCAGTTGGAGCACGAGACGAGCTCGGCCTCCACTTCATCGTCTGCAAAGACCACCTGGCAGTCTCGGGCGCCCACTGTGCGATATGTTCACCATTGGCCCCCCGTAGGTTTGGAGATGGACGGTCACAAAGGATTTCCTGAACTTCCCACTCCGCCTCCTACTGTCGTCTTGAGTGATGCTTCTACGCCGACGACAAACCGAGATGGCCAGTCTAGGGAGAATCTTTTTGGTATGCCGCCCCCCGTTGCTGGTGGAGAGACCTCATCAACCAATGGCCACTAACTTCAACACTGCTCCTCGCTTGTTCAGCGGAAAGTTACATGTAGTGGTTGATGGGTTCCGGCCTTCGTAACATTGGTGTCTGTTTGTAAGGTTGGAGATGCTGAGATCCTTGACTCTGAACCTCGCAAACAAGAGCGAATTCCACCTTTGGGTGATGCACGGCATCCACCAGCACAGGTTGGAGAGGGCTACCTGTCGCAGTGCGCCATCGACAACCGCCTAAAGCGGTTGATGAAGCCTAACAAAAAAACGGAGCTGCCAAGGTGTCGGATGATATCGTAAAGATGTTTCGTTCTGGACCCAAGGGGAAAAAGAAGGTAGAGGCCATGTTTGCAGCTGCTGGTTATGACCGGGACCGGGGCGTCAAAACTGGTCCATTTGTCCAATGTGTTTTTTCAATATATTAGGTTCTGCTGTTCTCAACGAAAGTCTTTCGTTTGTTCATGGCAGGAGACCTTCATAGTAGAGTGCGAAGCACTCTTGGAAGAATTTGAGGAAACCAATTTGATAGTCGAAGGCGAGTACATATCAAAAAAGGACATGATGGAGAGCTGGGGATGGAGTGAGACACCCGGCTTAAACACAGTACCCTGTGCATAAGCATTGGTCTGATGTTTTCTCCCTCCAGTACTTCTATGGGTAAGTGGCTCATGTTCCACCAGCCCTGCCTGATCGCTGAGGCAGCGGGCCAACGCGGTCATCAACCTGCGCAAGGAGAATCCAAAGAAGTTTTGCAGGCAGTGCGTTTCTTTCTCGAGCGACTCTGTCTTTCTTTGAGCTTAGCTTATGCTGAGC